ATTCAGGTTTCCAAACCTGATATTTTTTTGATCTTCAGTTCTTTGATGCAGTTATTTTGGCGTGTGTGTATCCTGTGTGTACAGATAATGATGCCTCCTCTCCTACTCAGGCCTTCCTTTGCATCATAATTTCAGGTAATAAAATAAAAATCTCCTTTATTTTTTCCAGCTGGAATCTCACACCTTTGACACTGAGACTTATCTCCATCCTTATTAGATATGAGGGTCTTTAAAAATAGATCCCTCACTACTTTGTTAGTTATTTTCACTTTTGGCCAAATCTTATTTAAAAGCAGCCTAGAGAATCATTAAATATTTAAAAATATGCAAAGTAAAAGCACTCTTTTCAGTTCTTTTTAGCGGTGCCAATGTTTGTCAGAGCAAACCTACCCTAATTTGCACTTTAGCTGTGAACTTAGGCAAAAGGGATAAAAATGGAAAGACATGGTTCTGTTTTGTAATGAAAGAAGACAAACTGTGCTTTGGGGGGGGGGAAATAATTGGCCATAAAGTGTAAAAATGTTTTAATATTAAGATCTGATAATAAAACCATGACATGTTTATAAACACTCTATCCAGCATTTTTACAATGAAGTCACTGCTGACGACTGGGAAGGCAATAAATAAATATGCACGGACACACTGAGTATGAAATATACATCTTGATTTGATAATCGTGTGTGCTTTATTTTTTTTACACAAATGGAATGGAAGTGTTGAATATTTACACTTAACAGGAGTGTAAGCTGTGCAGTGTCTCAGTCCAGACCAGACAAGGAATATTTCCCCCTCCCTCCCATCCTGCACTACAGCTCAATTGAGAGACATCCTGTCAGAGAGAAGCACAAAATTGTTATATTTAAAGGATCTACCGGGTACAGCCTGGTGCACTCAGAAGTTAAGACACACTTAGGAAACACAAATTCAAAAGGAAAGAAGAAAAGTTTGCCATCCCATTGGGAGTCAGCCTTGCCATTTGGTTGTCTGTCCTTGTGAGTTGCTAGGGAGATACGGTACTCTAGCTTTTAGATGAGCTTTGTCTAAAGTGTCCACCTGTCTTAGCTTGTCTTCAGCTGCTACAAGAGACTGCACAGCTGTACAAGAAATGATTTCCTAAGCACAGGTGTCTATGAGGAAGGATATTTACAGACTGGAGTGTGTGTGTGGGTTTCCATCTACATTCATTTATATCTAATGTAGTGTGTATACATGATATACAGGCCATATATACCATACATACATGTGAGAGAAATATGTGTCCACAGAATTCTGTAGGGAGTTTCCTGTCAAATCAGTTGTCACAGGAGGCACTCCACATGCTTTAAGGGAATTGCTCTTTGTTATTTTCCTCTAGGAGTGACAAATTTATATGACAAATGGAGTAACTAGCCTGAGTTCTGGCTGAGAGATTTTTGTAGAAATTTAGGTAGGACCAATACAGGGAAAAGGGGATGATATTTCACCAGCGAGTCCATTCAATCTCACCAGAGCAGTCACCAGCTGAAAAGCAGAGAGAGTGTCAGATGAAGATGAGAAAAAGAAAGCTTATGAATGGAAGAAAATGCCTCTCTCCAAACCAAGGTGGTGGCATGGCTTCAATGAGAAGGAAGAAATTTGCTACCAGGATAATTGTTGGAGCAGGCATCTGCCTTTATTGAAAGGGCGTGTCCTCGGAGCCACGGGGTGGGTGTTGGGAGTGGACTCACTCCGGACTTGGGTTCAGGCAGAAGAGCCCAGGTGCCCACAGGGCCCAGAGCAACGCACATCACTGTCTGGGCAGCGGTGCAGGCTGGCTCGGTCAGAGGTGCTGGAGTGGGCTCCAGTTCAGACCTCACGCTCAGCTTTGCATTCTGGGCTAAGAAGGTGAAACAGCGACCCAAAGTAATTTGTGTCAGTAGTCCAGTTTATGGACTTGCTGTCTGCATCAGCCAAGAGCCCTTATAGGACAGAACAAAGTAAGAAGTGAGGGATGAAGGAGGAAGTGAGCAGAGATCTGAGGTGAAGAGAAAGGGCTGAAGAATAAGTAAAAAGACAGAGACTATAGGACAGAAAGTGAATCAGAGAAGGAGTAAAGGGCAGAGACTAATGACTGCACGAGGCAGCAGAAAAGAGAAGGAAGATGAAAAGTAAGACGATAGAACAAAGGACAGAATACAGAGGAGTTTTTAGAGTAGAAGAATGAGACAAAGAATAGTGGTGTGAGCCAGGAGAGTGGAGGGCTTTTCACTGGCTCCTGATCCTGAAGGGCTGGCATTGGGATCTAAGACAGCTCACAGAGGCACCTGAGTACGGCTTTGTAATGATGGGCTCACTAAGCAGTTCTAGCCAACCCGAGAACTCAGGGTTGGAGAAAGGGCCTGCAAAGGATTAACCAACAAATCCTGTGAGAGGTGAGCAAAAAACCAAGTGTCCTTGCCATTAGCTGACAGACGGAATTTTGATTTTGGTAAAGCTGAGACCCCCATGGTGCTACACATTGTACCAGAGCATGAAAAATAGCACCAGTGACACGATCTGGCACTTTTCTGAAAGGGCCCAGCATGTGAAGGTGACATTGCGCCCCCAGCAAGCCTTCAGATTGGAGAGAGCTCCGAACAGAGTTTGCAGTGTTAGCACCAGTCTGGTCCCAGGCTCCAAGTGCATTTGCACCAGATGTAATCTGGGTAACTTTCATGCCATTTCCATACAAATTGTCAGTTTAGTTGCAAAAATTCATCGGAGCCATAGAGACCTCAACATTGGGAAGCGCAAGACAACACAACAAATGGAGGTGTAAGTTCTATAGGAAAAGACCCTCTCACCAATTTGCTTGGTGATTCTTCAAGCAAATATATATGTATATATATTTATATAAATCTACATAAAAAAATCAGTGCAAATGCCAATTCTAGTCTGGAAGCATCTACACTAGGAAAATAACTATACTACTACAAAACCAAGGGTTGGTGCTTCAATTTGATTGTACTCAGCCACAGCAATACTATTAAATGGAAAGCACATCACACGACCTGCAAAAACATCTACTCATTAATGACAGTCCTTTAAATAAATGGTTGCATGCTCAGTTGAGAAACCAAAGAAGTTATCATGGTGGCCAAAAAATAAGAGCTGGAATCAGGAATGGCATTCTGGTGGCAGAAAACTTCTGGGAGCAATTTTGATGAAAGTAGGTCTTGACCTAAAACTGGCAAATTGTGGATGTGGAAACATGTTTTAACATTTTTAGCATTCTGAGGAAATTTCCAAGAAAAATGCATTGCTAGCCCTTCTGTTAGCAAAGGCAGCTTCAAAACTCTAGGGAGGTGCATGATTCTGTATTTTAGGATTTGTTTTGGTGACTGCAGCCAGGCAGACAAAATATTTAGTGTAAGATGAACAATCTTTGCTTTAAGAAAGAGACCTTCAATCTAGCTCTGGTGGTCTTACAGTGAAGAAGCCCCATCACAACTGATGGCTCTGTTTCTTGTTCTCCCACCCCAGCCTACTTGCTGGTTTGCTGCACAGTGTGGCAGAATTCCTGCCAGGTCTGGATGTACCCCAGAAATAAGGCGATGGGGCTTAATCTGGGCATAGAGAGAACCCAGAGTTGAGTGGTTGTTGAGATCACTGAAGTGTCTCTTCCTAATCATCACGGGCAAAAGCAATGCTCCTATCAGCTTTGAAGTGTGGGACAATTCTGGTTCAGTTTATAGGCTTTGAAAGATTTCTTTCCCAATCACCATTGTTATAATTGTTAAAAAAAAACCCAAACAAAAACTTGGTCCAGGTGCAGCCCCAAGAAAGGCAATTCAATTGGTTGAGCTCAAAGTATTTGTTTTTTCCTTGCAGTTTTCTCTCTTTGCCCTGCACGCAGAAACAAGTCTACACTCCTCGTCCCCCAACCGGATAGGCCTCTTCTATCTCTTCCTCAAAAAGTATCTATGTATTGTGTATCTTGGGACAGATCTTTCATGGCTGAATACCATCATTGACTATTACAGAACCTTCAATTACTCTGTGAAACAAAAAAGAAGAGTAATGCTAATTGCTTGCTCACGGTTGGCCAAAATACTAAAAGATCCTTTGAGGAATGTATGTAACTAGGAGCAAGTGATTAAACTATTTGCACAGCAGGCCCAGGTTTAACAAGAGAAAAGCAAAAAGTCCCCTCAATATCATTTGTAGGAGTTTGTGTATTTACCAGAAGTCTTCCAAAAGTCTTTCCACATTGGAAACTCATTGGAGAATGTGCTCGATGGGCATGTTAGAGCTTGTATGGAAGGGAGATCATGGGAGGAAAGTGAGGGCGAAGTCTTTGTCAGACTTTGGGAGTAACTTGGGTGTTCTTAATGGATCATTGGCAACAAAAGGGAGAGTGCAACGTTGACCTTGAATTTGATCATCTGCTGAGAGTGCATACATTTAGTCTTTCGGTTAATTAGTCTTTACAAAATAGTTCACAAAACTTTTTTTTTAACCTATAGAAATTCATTTGTATACATTTAATATATTTTATTGTATAAATTATTCTCATCTTTAGTGCCTTCTTTCAGTTTATAAATGGCAAAATAGACAATCAACAATCATAAAGCTAATCCCAGGTGGATTCCCCTCCTCTTGGTAATGTCAGTCCTCCATACTCTTGCAAATTTTACAAGATGCTTGTCTTTCCAGATGCCAGTCAAGGAAACCACACCCTATATTTTCCCTGATACTATGCCACCTCCAAAGGACTCCTTTCTTTTTCTTGTTAAGAAATCAAAGGATATGCATAGTTATAAAATTCAAAGTGTACCAATTACAGATGTGGGTAATGGGAAGATTGGTGAGGTTCAAGTGCTGGCAATTTTTCTTTAAAGCAAAAAACACAGAGAGCTCAGCAGCTAAATCAGCACTGGACATCTGCTGGGGTGAGGAGGCTGCCCATCTCTTGGGCACAAAGCCTGTCAGAGGTTCATCCCTACACCTGGCACTTTGAGCAAACCGAAGCCTTCCTGTGCACTGCATTGTCTTTTCTGTCCCACCCTTTGGCCCCTCTGTTTCCTTCATGGCTTCACACAGTTTGTGTTGTACATTCATAAGAATTCACATTGACTGCAAAAACATAAAATGCAACAAAAACATAAAAGCCTCCAAGTAGTATATTATATATATTTTGTTCTTCTAAATGCTCTTCTGTCATCAGAGGTGCAGTAGCTAATTTATAACTTTTCCTTTGAGGGGATCCAGATGAAAGGCCCAGATTGCTCTTCAATAACAAGCTTGCATTGGTTATAAATATCTTCTAAGGTGTCGCCTTGGACAATAGCTGTTAAGAAAGTAAACACATTCTGAGTTAGGAAATTTTCTAAGTGGTGAAATAAATGTTACTCATACACCAGAAACTCATGACAACTCATCAAGAAGTTTAGTATTTTTAAAACAACTATGAGACATCATCTCACCCCAGAAAGAACAGCAAAATTTAACAGAACAGCAAGCAACAAATGCTGGTGAGGTAGTGGAGAAACTGGAACCCTTATTCACTGTTGGTGGGAGTGTAAAATGTTGCAACCACTGTGGAAGGCAGTATGGCGCTTTCTCATAAAGTTGAAAATAAAGATATCATTTGACCCAGCAATTCCACTGCTGGGAATATACCCCAAAGAGACCATAACTGATATCCAAGCAAATATATGCACACCCATGTTTATCATGGCTTTGTTCACAATAGCAAGGAGTTGGAAACAACTAAGTGCCCGTCAACAAATGAATGGATTAGAGAAGCTGTGGTATATTCACACAATGGAATACTATGCTGCATTGAAAAACAAGGAACTCATGAAATATTATTCAAAATGGGTGACTCTGGAGGACATTATGCTGAGTGAAGTATTTCAGTCACAAAAGGACAAATACCGCATGGTGTCACTGTTGTAAAACAGGACTGACCTTGGGGTTGGGGAGAGACTGAGAAAGATGGGTTCAATGAAGTATACTGCATTGAAACAGATGAGGGAGAAAACGATTTTAAAGGGATATGTGATTAGGTATTTTTGTCATGACAGGAGTCTAGAGCAAAGGCTACATGGTGGAGTGGACCTGGGGGAGGGTTTGTAAAACAATGAAAGAATATTTCTTTTACTTTTCCAAGAAGGTAGTGTTCTGGGAGGGAGAGTTGGGAGGGGAGAAAAGTGCAACAGATGAATAAATGGAAATCCAATCTCTGTAAATTTTTACTGAAGTTAATAATAAATTTAAATTAAAAAAACCAAAAAGAAGTTTACTATTTCTTATTATTTCTAAGAAAAAAAGCCAGAAAACTCATTTGTGCAGAGTCATAATAATAATTTTTAAAATGCTTTTAATGCATATCTTAGATTTGTCACAATGCATTACAGTTTTTATACTTTGTGCATGCTTGTCTGTAGTTCTTGTTATATGACACCGAGTTGCTTGTGACTCATAGCGACCCTATGTACAATAGCTCTGAACCATGCTCTATCTTGAGCCAACTTCATTGTCTCTGACACACTTACCCCCAATACCCTACTCACTGAGTCAATCCATCTCATCTAGAGTCTTTCTCTCGTGCGCCCCCTTCACCCTTCCAAGCAAGATGTCCCTTTCCAAGGGAGTGGTCTCTCTTTACAACATTCCCAAACTATGTTAGACAGAGCTTCAAAATCCTTGCCTCCAAAGAGCAGCCTGATTTCACCCTCTCTAGGATGAACCTGTTTGCTCTAACAGTCTATGTTATATTCAATATTCTTCTCCAGAATCACAACTCAATTCCTCTTCTGACATCCTTAGTCATTTTTCAGGTCTCTGATACATAGCAGGTAATTGAAAAGACCATGGCCTGGATCAGGCACACTTTAGTTTCTACACTGACATAATTGCTCCCAATGCAATTATGATTTTGATTTCTTGGCTCCTGGTACCAAGGGTGTTTCTTTTGTTCTTTTCTTTGTAACTTCTGTCTCTATATATTTTCATGTTCTAGATATTTCATGTAAGTGTGATCATACAATATTTGTTCTCTTGTGACTGGCTTATCCCACTCAGCATAATGTTTTCAGGGCTCATCTATGCTGTAACACATAGTAGAACATCATCTCACATTATGGTTGCTGAGTTGTGTTATTGTTGTGTACCAGAGAGTCTGAACCAATTCATAGCTGACCCTCTCTTGGGTTTTCAGAGGCATTTAATCGCATGGGAGAGATTGCCCATCCTTCTCTTGCAGAGCAGCTGATGGTTTTGAACCATGTGCCTTTGGGATTGCAACACAGCTACTTACCACTAGGCCATTAGAGTGCCCTTGTATATAAATTCCATATTGTTTTTATCCATTCACCTATTTATAGACATTTAGGTTATTTCTACCTTTTGGTTATTGTGAATCATGCTGCAATGAACATTGGTGTCAAGGTTTTTTAATATTCCTGCTTTCCATTTTCATGGTTATATAAATAGGAGTAGAATTTTTGTGCTATGTGGTGATTTTTAACTCTCTGAGTAACTGCTGAACTGTTTCTGAAAGGTCTATACTGTTTTATAATCCAACTAACAATGGGGTGTTCAAATTTTTCAATATTCTTGCCAATAGTTGTTGTTTTCCAGTTTTCTGATCATAGACATCCTAATGGAAAGGAATTGTTATTTCATTATGGCTTCCTCATTATTTACTTAATAATTAATGTTATTGTTGTTGTTGTTGTTGTTATGTGCCATTGAGTCACCTGCGACTCATAGCGACCCTTTGTACAACAGCCCTAAACTCCGCTCTGTCCTGTGACAATCGCACTGTCTCTGACACTCCCATCCCAAAATGTTATTAGCATCTTTATTTTATTTGTATATTTTCTTTGGTAAAATGTCTTACATCTTTTGCTTACTTTTTAAAAATGTATTTTAATTTACTCATACATATTTCATTTTATAGCATTACTGATAATTGTATAATGTCACTATTTATAACATCTCATTGAAAGCTCACTGTACCTGCAATTTCCCTTCACCATAACCATCCAGCCACTAATATCTCCTCCCCTTCCCTTCCTTACTATCCCTACCACCCCTCCATGATTATTTCTATCTGTGTGTTAACTTTTCCTCAGTCTCTCCCCTCCCTCTCCTAATTTTGTAAGTTATGCATGTCATGTTCTTGATTGTTAACTACATTACACATATGTCTTATAATTCATTAATTTCATTTTGATCTCTCCTTTACCTAGTCTGTCCCATTGTTCATTGTCTATCCATTCTTTTCCTGTTCTCCCTTCCCATCTTTTCCTGAAACCTGACTTCTTTCACAACATGACTTATTTAATTTTATACATAATGTCCTATAGAGCTATCCATGTGACGTACTAGTTCATGCATTCACTCATATATGTAATTGCACCAATACCAGACTGTTTTGATTACTGTAGCTTTGAAGTATATTTTGAAATAGGGAAACATGAGTCCTCCTACTTTGTTCCTATTTTCCAAAATTGCTTTGACTATTTAGGACACCATCTAGTTACACATGAAGTTGAAGATTGGATTTTTTGTTTCTGTAAAAAAAGTTGAGATTTTGATAGGGCTCATGTTTAATCTACAGATCAAAATGGGTAGTGCTGACATCATCATCATCATCATCATCGTCATTATCATCATCTTCATCATCATCCATCTTCCAATCCATGACCTTAGACTGTCTTTCCATTTATTGTTGTAGCTATTATGTGACAACTACGACTTATAGTGACTCTATGAACAATGGCCCAGAACTCTGCCCTATCCTGAGCCACCTTCCCTGTCTCTGGCACTCCTCCCTATTGCCACAGTTACTGTTTCAGTCCATCTCATCCAGGAAAGGGTCTTTCTTGTGCCAAGTATCCACTCTTCCAAGCGTAATTTTTTCTCTAAGGACTGTCACCTCATGACAACATGCCAAAAGTATGTAAGATGGAGTTTCAAGATCCTTGTCTCCAAGGAGCTGTCTGGTTTCATGCTCTCCTAGATGGACCTGTTTGCTCTCTTGGCAGTCCATGATATGTTCAGTACTCTTCCCCAGCATCACAGCTCAAACACATCAATTCTTCCATCATCTTTGGTCATTGTTCACCTCTCAGATGCATAACAAGCAATTAAGAAGAACATCGTCTGGATCAGATTCCCCATAGTCTTTAGAAAGACACTGTTTCTCTTTAGCACTCTGGAGAGGTCTCTGAAGGTAGATTTTTCCTGTGCAACTAGTCTTTTGATTTCCTGACTGCTGATGCCAACGGTTTTGATTGTGGATCCAAGCAAGATGAAATTGTTAACAACTCCAATCTTTTCTCCATCTATCATGGTGCTACTTATTGACCTAGTGGTAAAGATTTTTGTTTTTGTGACACTGAGGTGCAATCCATACTGAAGGCTATTGTTCTAGATTTTCCGCAGGAAATTCTTCAAGTTGTCTTCAGTTTTGGTGAGCAAGGTTGTGATACCTGTATTAATACAGGCTGTTGATGAATTTTCTTCCATTCCTAACATCACATTCTTCTTTATAAAGTCCAGTCTGTTCAGCATATAGGTTGTAAAGGTATGGAGAGAGTACATATCCCTGATTCATTCTTTTCTTGATTTTTAACCATGCTGTGTTCCTTTGCTCTGTGTGGACAACAGCTTCTTGGTCTAGGTATAGGTTCTGGTAGTTCTCTGTACATGTAATGTTCTAGTAATTTTTTTGGTAATCTTCTGCAAGATTTTGCTTGCATGTGATATTAGTGATATTGTTCAATAATTTCCACATTCTGTTGGATTACCTTTTTTGGGAATGGGAACAAATAGGGATTGTTTCCTGTGAGTTTGTCAGGTAGCTGTCCTACAGATTTCATTGCATAATCCCGTGAGCACACCCAAAGCTGCATATATTAGCTGGTATTCTACCAGTTCCTGGGGACTTATTTTTTGCCATTTGCTTCAGAGCAGCTTGAATTTTTTCATTACCATTGGTTCTTGATCATATGCTCCTTCCTGAAACAGTTCTGTGTCAGCAAATTCTTTTTGGTACAGTGATTCCATGGCTTTTGTTCACTTTTTAAAACTTTATTTCACTAGTTTATTTACAAAATTCTAATACAAATTCAAAGAAATTCTTTCAATTTCACTCAACCCCCCACCCATGAAATTGTATAATCCAATTATTGATCCCCTCTTCCCCCTGTACATCCACATCCCTCTGCTTCCAGCCTCTCCCACTCCTCCTGGATCCTTATACTCATTTTACAATAACGGTCTTATGCAATATTTATCCTTGTGAGACTGAGTTCACTCAGCATAATGGTCTCC